AGACTCAAAACTTCTACAGATACATATGTGAGCCAGCGTTGTGAAATCGGGCGCTCGTCAAAATAACAAAATCGTAGAAACAGGCATTTTCCCACCAGTTGGGAAATTTTTTATCGAATTTGTACTTCTTGGTTATTCTGTTTTTATGTCCATATATGAAAACACATTTCCATCGGAATTTTACTGAAAATTATTGATTAAAGGTACAAAATATGTCATTTTTCAGTTTTCAAAGAATCTTTAGCTTTAGGGGTCATTTTCTCGATTTTTTCACTACTGAAATCCGGCAACCTCCCTTTCTTCAACCGAGAATATCTTGAGCTCTATTCAAGATAAATGAATATGTATTTCATTAGAAGTAAGGCAAATAAATCCGCTTTCATATGATACCACCAACAACTTCATATCCCCAAAAATTGATGTGCGCCTGATTCCACCTCGTCGTGATACGTATGTAACTGCTTCGCTTTACACCCAGGAGGCCTCAGTTTGATTCCCTAGTAAGGAAAATTTTTCTCGAGTGTACTTCTGTCTTTCTGCTGGGACTTTGTACCCCTCTCATCCCAGATTGTGTTTGACAGGCAGGATCGAAGCCCACTTCCTCAATAAATTATATAAATTGTGTCGATTGAGGCGTAAAAATACTTGCATTAATATCAAAAGAACAGTTTTCCCTGATTTAAAATTGTCAGTTAGTTCAGATCCTTTGAAGCTCTCATAGATATCTTGATAGCTTGATATTTGTTGCTGAAATGCCATCCCCTACTCCTAACCACCACCAATACCCCAATAAAAGAAAAGGATAGAAACTAAAAAATATACAGGCATATATTATATAGAGAAGTAGGTCTATATGAATAAATAGAATTGGATTAGATTCTTGAAAGTGAATCTGGTTACTTACTCTGAACCGGGCAGAGGTATTATATATATGCAGACGTATCACCAACGACGACAAATTGACATGCAGAAGGAACACGTTTTTCATGAATTTATCTTTCTATATTATACAATATAGACTTACTTGTCTGCTGAGGGTTAGCTATATTATTATGGTAATATTAGGGGGTAATAATATGGTTTAATGTTGCTGTTTGGAAAGTGAGAGCAAGCTTGTTCCCCGCTATGAACTGCTACTTGTTGACCCTCTGAGAGAGGTCTGTCGCCACTTTAGTGAACACCTGATAAGACATGTACTTAATTATATGTATACGTTTTCATTCTTTGCTGCCGTTGAGCGTCGAGGGAAGATGTAGTTTTTTTAATGGTACTCCAACTCTGTAGCTCTTTCAATTGAGATGATATCGTTTCTCTGGGTTCTTGGGATGAGACATGTATCTGGCGGGATTTTTTCTGGCAAAAATGTCAAAGGGAAGCGTAAAGCATTGTCGGGAAAACATAAATGAAAGAATATAACCTTCTATGGAAAAAGAGTGGGTGCTTGCCCTGCTTTCCCTTTCCCACCCCCTCCTCCTCCTCCTCCTCCTCCTCCTCCTCCTCTCTCTCTCTCTCTCTGAATTATTCGTCGTAAATCTGTGTCATTTGCCATCTGCAGGTTGAGGGGCCATAAGGTAGAGTATGTATGGCAAAAAAATAAGAATAAAAATAACACCGGCGTACTAATGGTGCTGTGTGAACAAAGTCTGAAGGACTTATATCAGGTAAAATACAGACTTGAGCTGGGAACCGCAAACTTCTTTTTTATGTAGGCATTTTACACACAATTTAGATCATTTAAGAGGCAGGGTATGAACCTGCCAGTCATGGCCAGCCCTGATGAGAGGAAAACGACATCCCATCAGAAAGACTGAGATATTCAGTAACAGTAGTTCTTCCTTCATGGGAATCAACCACAGGTCCTGTGGGTGCAACAGCGAGACGCATAACCGCTGCACCACCTGTTCCACATACCTCAGTCAGAAACCATGGCTAAAGAAAGTGATATCCATCCAGAGATATCTGCCATCACAGGGTGCTACCACTGACTGAACTGTCTTTAGGCCGTTCACAAAGGGGGGACATTTCTCGTTCTTATGCACTGTAGAATTGTAAATGGACTGATTCAAAAATGTCATGATCATAACTGTGCCTGAACTACAACAGGGAACTGCTGCTTTTATTTTTCCTAATCCTTACTATCGTCATTTTCCTCTACTTCTTTTGCATGTTTGTCACACTCTTGTGACCCGCTATTTCCGGAGTGCCTTGAAAGTCGAAACAGACTTTGTGCTGTTGAAGCTAGACAAGTGAGCAGAGTAAGCCCGATTCCCTGTAAATACCTCTCTGTTGACATCCACCTCTTGGCGCTCATATGACCTTATGCAGTTTTCGAGCGCCGTAAAACCGCTACTAATAAATAATAAAAAATAGGGATGTCTGTCAGTTAGGCAGCCGGTTAATGCAATGTGCTGTTCTGAAACCCGTGACAAAGTTTGAGAAGCTGTGCACCAAAAGGGACCAGAACGCCTGAGCAAGGACTTCATTGTATGTTGGTCGACTAAAGACTTGATCCACTTCTGGAAGCCATTAGCCACATAGCTTTGACCTTCATCTTCCAAACTTTCGTCTTTTCTTTTAGCTTGACAAAGGTTTATTGAAGATTTTGAATTGACCACGGAAGTCCAAAATTGGCAGCATTGTTCTGACCAGGATTTGTTCAAGGAGGAAATAGATTCTTTGATAAACTGCCGAAAACTACCGAGTCGGTTTGTATGAGAAGTGTGTTGAACCCTCATATGACCTTATGCAGTTGCGAGCGCCGTAAAAACACTTACAAAAAAAAAAAAAAAAGAAAAAACAACAAACAAAGCAAATAGCTAAATTATGTAGCTTTCTGGACTGTAGTTGATACAATAGTTTAAAATATATACTCGACAGTTTATTCATAAGTCATACATAGAATTTAAAAACAAAACATCGTAACATTCAAAAGAGGAAGAGTAATCTGTTTTGCGAATTGCAAATAGAGTTATGATGAAAACGATCTGTTCCTATCAATATGTAGACAAATCAGGGGGATAATACGATAGCCTTCGACTTGGATCATTTTTTGCAGAGCCAGAAGGTACACGGTTTGTATGAGCCATTACCAATGCACACTTTTTAAATGAAACATGGGGTGGGGTTGGGGATTTG